GCCCAAAACCCCAAAACCCCAAAACCCCAAAACCCCTGATAGTTTTGGTAAATTGAAACTAAAAATTCAAAAAAAGTAAAATGCTTTCACCAAAGTATTCAGAAGCACCATAAAACGTCTTTCATCAAGATCACCTCTTTCCATCCCCTTATTAACCCATCCACCCTCCACACCTACTTCTAAAACTATGCCTAAATCATGTATAACGCTCTATGCCCACCAAAGGAACATTACTGTTCTCCAAATTCGTTAATTTCACCGACTTATGTCCTCTTCAAAATCTATCTCTGAGTCTCCAGTTCTGGCTTGTAGGGAGCCTGCCAGGCTGTTTCTAAGGAATCTTTGGTTTCTGATTTCGTGCTGGTTGACTGAGTAGAGGAGTTTAGCTTTCCAGAGGCCTGAGGAATCGCACATAAAAATAGGTAGAATAAAGTGTATAAGAGGGTTATCAACGCAATGGATGTTCAACACATTCTAAATCCGAAATATTGTGTGATGTAGCTTCCATATATAGAACCAACTCCTACACCAGCTGTTAGTGAGAAATTAAATACTGCTGATGACATATCAGCTATCTTGGATTGGTGGTTTGGATATTTTGAGACTCCATCTTCAATAATGATTGGCAAAATAGGAAGAAAGAACAACACAGACGAGCTACCCATGATAAAATGTCCTGCTCCCATTGTGTAAAAGTAAACTCTAGAAGAGTCTACTAACCTTCCAGTTCCTGCTGAAGAGAACAAAAACCAATCCGGTATGAAAGAAGTTGGTCCCATAAGAAAAACTCCAATAGCACCGAGAATCATTCCAACGACTACCAATTTTCTTGAACATAATTTTTCTCCAAAGAATGAGAAGATCAGTAGCATAATGAAATAACAAATCGGAGCAATTGAAAATATGATCCCTATTTCAGAATTAGAGAGTCCCTTAGCCATTAATTCCGTTGAAAGAACAGGCTCGTAAAAACAGAAGTTGAAGAAGCATAAGAACACTCAAATCGTGGTCAGCAAGTACACTTTGCTTGTGAGTAGTTTCCAGCATGATATGTCTTCTGTTTGCTCTATAAAAATGATTAACATTGCCGACATCCATAAGTTTAGATTTAGATTTTGAAGATGATATACCTCTTTTCAGGTGAAAAATATACAAAAATTAGAATGATCTGAAAGATTCATGAAGAATTTATATGAAAAAATAAAAGCAATAAATATAGATTTACCTCTGTCTTTCTGAGCTTCAGCATCATTTGTTGCCAGGAAATCTCTCGTAGTCCAAACGTTTTCTTCTTCACGGATGCCCACTGACTTCGGGATTTTGAAGGAAAGAAGGATCAATAGAACAATGAAAAGCCCCGTCATGATAAAATAGATTCCTCAAAATCCAACTATAAAAGAATAGTCAAGAAATATCTAAAAACATTAGTGTCGAGATTGCGATTTAACCAAAAACTTTAATTTTCAAAAGAAGTACAAACACTGTGATTATGAACATACAAAGTCTTATAATAGGACTAGAGCCATAATTGTGCTCAATTAGGGTTTCATCCTTGCAATGATACATAAGCTTGACGGAGCAAATTGAGGTTCAAGAGCAGAATTCGATGCAAAAGAATTACCTAACGAATACATTATAGTTCCGACAATAGGACCAGAAGTTGATCCAGCTCCTTTTGACGATTGACTAAGACCCAAGTATCTCATCCTGTTTTTGGTAAATGATACTCAGATGATTGCATAAACTGAAGTATCAATCAAACAAGTCGCTGCTCCTTGAAGCCCCCTTACAGCTAATAGCACTGGAACCAACACCTCACTGCTTTGAACAGAGCTAGTCATAACAAGTGAAGCCATTCAGACTGTCATTCAGGCAACTCCTCCTTTACATTAGTTCTTAGGCTTACATAATAAAGTGCTCTTCCTACCGAAGTTATCCATAATTCTCACCACAATAAACGTAAATGCTAAATTGGTAAAGGCGAACATGGCATAGATGTATCCATAGGTTGATGGACTTAGGTCAAACCGCTTGAATTCAATTGGAATAAATGGAAGAAGAATCATATAGTTGATCGCACCCAGAAAATGAGTAGCAATCATTATGAAAAAGGTTGATGTGTTCATATTTAATTAAAATATCACTAATTTTTTAAATAGCAGCACTATCTCAATGATTTGCTCTATAGGTGGGGTTTTGGGGTTTTGGGGTTTTGGGG